AAAAAGATTTTCATTCTCAGTATTTCAAATGGTTTATTCATCAAAATATACTGAAATAAGTGGAGACAGCAGGTACAGAGTTGAATCCAAGTAAGCAGACTAGAGGTTTTTTTTGTTTGTTTGTTTTTAAAATGTTTGTTTGTTGTGTAGTCTTCAGGTGTGGTTTGGGTGAGAGAACTGGAAGACTTCATGACATCATAGCATTTAATTCAGTCAGCCCAGTTGTACTGTGCTTGAACCCTTGCACTCAATGCTCCACCTTGTGGGCATTTTATGAAATGACATTTCAGATGTCGGAACAGTTATTGCCAACCCCATGAAGGAGTCAATTCACTCATTGCAGTCAGGAAAGAATAAGAACAAGTCAGTTTAAATTAGGTACTGTGTGTGAAACATATTAGGGTGAGTAGCAGGGTGAATCTAAATGTGCAGCCATTCTTAAAAGATTTTAAAGCCTCTGGAAACCCAAATCCACAATAGCCTTCTAACTATGTAATTTAGGGTCTTATGTACATAATATTAAACATGTAAAACAATTAGAAATCTGTTTCCATCCAAATTCGAAATATCTGTCTTTTAAGTTTTTGTACATTCTTGAAATTGGGTTTGATTTGGCCGTGGTTATCTCTGAGATTTATTACGCAATAAATTCCAAACCAATCATAAATCATCAGTCAGTTGTCTCATCCCGCCCCCCAGTGGCAGCGCAACAAAACCTTTCTGCTCCAGCTGAATCTGCCTCTTTGAGTCTGAGCCAACTCGTCTTTCTAGTCTGATGTTTAGAAAATACAGATCGTAAACTGGCTGAACCGCTCGGCTGCGACCCAGCGGAGGCTCTGCCTCCGGCGGGCTCCCAGCAGCACTCAAATCAGGTTGACCGGCTTCAGAGCCCGGACAATCCGAGCCTTTGCAGCTCGTGGAGCTGCAGGAAGAGGCGGCTTGTGAGCGGCCGGGCTGGCCCCCCCGGGCCCGGTGCCGGTGTCGGCTCGCGGGGAGGGGACGTCATGTGCACCCTTCCTCACCCCTAACCCCAACCCCACGCAGTTAGCTTTGCTACGCATAAACATATCCCCAGTCGCGGAGGTGATGCTGCGGGAAACAACACAATTTTAGCCGGAGGGGAACATTATTCGAGGCGGGCAAATACTTCTACACAACTCTTTGAGGGTCGGTGTGTGTGTCAGAGTAAAGACATATTTAATCTATTAAGACTGCATGTGTTTGAATGAAAAAGGCTATTATCAGAAGAACGGAGCAGATTTATGTTTTCAATGAAAACGTATCTCAATGAAGAAAGGCAAAGCGCTAGCCTCCCATTGTCATTCATCTCAGCTAACGGCCGGGCTCCACCAGGCACGTCTGCAGCGCAAGTCCCGTAGCAGCTCGCCCTCTGTTAATCAATTACTGCGGCTCCACCGGCAACGGGAGCGGCACGACAACTCTCTATTTTACGCCGCTCTTCTATTGTTTATCCGTGACACTGTGTCCGTGGCGGACATTTGAAAGCGAGTAGATGACAAACAGTACAGTAAACTTGTAGATATCTCAAATCTATATGTAATAACTTAGGTGGAAAATGCTTTAACATTTCATGCAGCCTACATGCAGCCTCTCGGCTCAGCAAACGGTAAACAACCCCGCTGGCTTCTCTACGTGTCGCTTCCATACGCAGTCAGTGGAGCCCAAATGAATACGCCGCGACGCTACGCTGTACGTTTGCAGCTGGTGGAGCCCGGCCGTAACATTGCATGTAAAAGTTATGCTAACTATTCTACGAAGTAACATTAATATGAATCACGAAACATTTTGAAACTTACCATTCAGTGACCACCTGAAAGGAATCATTTTCAGCTTCTGGTTCGTCCTCTGAATCATCAGAGGGCTCAAACATGTACGGCTGGATTAAATTTGTGGCAGCCATTGCTGAGCCAGGGAGATGTCAATCAAAACGAGGGAGCTGTCAATCAGAGTGTTATCTGCCACGCCCCCTCTGTCCTGGCAAGTGGTCTAAACAGCAAAATGAGCTGTTTTTAAACCAGGTTTTCTAATAGTTATTAATGGTTATTTTCACTCAGACTTTTGTGGATGATTAATGAGACACTCGACTTTGATATAATATATGCATTTTTACTATTTCAAGCTGTGTTTCCACAGGCTTTAATATCTGTGATGGCTTTAACTAATCGCTAGACATTTCTCAAATTGAAGCAGGAAACACAGACTCAAAAGCTATGGCCAACAGCAACACATAGCTTACAGCAATAAAAATACATCACACAAGACAAATAAGGGGAGCACCGTTTATTAATGCACTCTATATGATTCCAAAAGCACTTAGACCTTGGTCTCAATATGTTACAGTGAAGATAAAGGAAGTCAGTGGTAACACCTAACATTGGCTTGATTTGTCAGAATTCCATGATTTTCCAGCAGCTAATTCTGAAAAGGCAAGTTTATTTATATGTACATACATATAGGGAATGATTATATTGTTTGTAATGCCTGATGTGATGTTTGTAGTTGTAAGGCTTTGTTGTTTGGTTAAATTTTGTGCTTTGTATTTCAGTAAAACAGTGTACATCCTGGGATGCAAGGCAAATTTCAGAAAATATTCGGATATGAAGTGAAATCAAACCAGAATCAAATAAAGCATGTTTCATACATTAAAGCAGCTTAAGGTGCATAATGAAGTTTTAAAGAGACACCAGTAAGAAAAATAAAAGTGCATGAAAATTCTTCTTGCATAAAGCTTTTAAGACGCAGGTACAAAGAATAAAAGAGTATAAAGTAAACAGATTCAGATAGAAAGTTTAATATAATAATAACAATAACAATAATAATAATAATAATAATAATAATAATAGTCAGCAGAAGAAGAGGAAGAATGATAATAGAAGATAAAAAGGCAAAATAAAAGTGCGATTTCAGTGCAATGCAAACATAGACTTGCAATTTCAGTTAAAAGTTGGACTGCATGGTAACTACAAGCAGTTTCATCATGTTTTATTCTGACTTTGGCAACAGTTAGCTGACCTCTTCCTGAAAACCTATAGGCCTGGAGGGTTCATGTGAATGAATGCAGGCCTTTAACTATAAATTGATTCTACACAACCTATAAGTGACTGGTAGCCAGTGCATGGACCTGAGAATTGGTAAAATGTGTTCAGCTGCCTTAGTCTTTGTGAAAATTTTGAGAAAAGACCAATACAGTAGTCTGTCCTACTTAAGATAACAGCATGAGATTAATACATTTTTCTAGCTCGTTCTTAGACATATATTCTCAAACTCTTGCTAGATTTTAAAGGTGGCTGACTTTGCTATTGACTGGATATGGCTGTCAAAGTTGGATCTGACTTGATATTATAGCCAAGATTCCTGACTTGAGTCAAGATGTACCTCTACTTTTAGCCTTTAACTTTTGTCTGTATTTAACACTAGAAGGAAATTCTGGTTCATCCAGCCATTTATTTGTTCCAAGCATTGATGGAGCAAGTCTGCGTCAATGAGAGTGTTGTATAATGCTGAGAGTCATCCATTTACTTATGATAAGTGATGTTATTGTTCTGTATGATTCTGCCTAAAGGGAGCATGTAGAGGTTAACAAGCAGAGGTCCAAGGATGGAGCCTTGAGGAACTCCACGTCATGCTAGGTCGCTCAGACAACAAAGAGTTACTTGTGTTGTAGATAGGACTTGAACCAATCCAGAAGTGTGCCAGACAGGCATGTGACTTGTGTGTCCAATGCAGTGATATAGTTGTGTATTACATTTGAGTCATTGGCTTACATTATATAATAATGTAACTTCTTCTTATATAAAAGTTTTTGAAAAAATCAAGAATATTTCCATAGAGATATTCATATAAAATAGAATCAGCACTAGAATCCCAGATGAAGAAGTGTGTCCTGTATGTCCAATGTAGTGATGCATTTTAGTATTCAATTTGATTCATTGGGTAATGTTACTTAGAAACTACTGAAAAACCTGCCATTATTTTTTAATAAATGTTTATATAAAATCAATGAATTACACATTATTAATGAGAATAACTGTGCTGCATTAAATTAATTAAGCATAATTTTAAAGCATAATTTTCATTAATATTAGCAAGTCAGAATGAAGGTATTGGTGGAATGTAAATTGGCCCTGACCATCTGCAATTTGAGGCCTCCTACTACTTATTTTGGTTGAAAATGAGTATGAAGATGCTTCTGGGTCTGAATGTTTGCCAAACATCCAACTTAAAACAAACTAATGTAATGTTAAAAGTCAGATTTAGATCAAATTAGATATCCAGACCCATCATATTTAAAAGTGGCAATAAAACCCTGAGCTTAAACCCTAAAAACACTTTAAAAAGACATTAAAAGCTTAACAATCAAGCAACAGCAACAGCTAGCCACACAGTGTTGCCAGGTGAAAAAACAATAAATGAGGACGTGCCAGCAGCTTAAAGAAAATGGAAACTTGCCAGAGGACAATGCTGATTAACATCAAATCAATGAACAGTTGTAGTAAGGTAGCAAAAGCTACACTCAAGGGGACGAGGAGTGAAAGGCTGCAGTGTGAAAACAGCACATCACAGGACTATTTGTCACCTCTCACGAGGAAATTAGATTAGTAACACTCTAGATAAGCACCCTGGAGCCAACTCCAAATTTGACTCAAACTGACAAACAAAAAATAATTTTTGTTGATAATGTTTCACTAAAACTTTTGCATTAATACAAATTAGTATGTTTCCCACAAAAATCAGCTGTTTTACAGCCATTCTTTTGTCAACATTTAGTTTTTCTATTTAGACCCTGATACACTTGATTAATTAGGCATAACGTTAACAAATGAAGATTTAAAATATTACAATGATATAGTTGTACAGCATAATATAAACTGAGAGAGCAGCAATACATCCACCAAGGATTTTATGTAACAGTTGATCTTCAGAGCAAGATATCTAATTACACAGTGCCCCATCAGGCCAACTTTTCAATTTTCCAGAGAAGCATGACGTACGTAACTTTGATCACACAATATTTACACATGACTTTTTACCCTACGCAACTGTCTGACTAAACATTAGTTATGCTGATGGAACTTTTCTGTCTAAGAGTAGTGATGCTTGTTAATTTGACGTCTGTTTGGTCAGCTTCATGTACTGTAACATTCTACCACAAATCTAGCACAATGCTGACTGCACAATCAGGCCTCAGTCGAGCTCTGCAATCTACTGATGCAGTGATATAGTTTAAACAGAATAGAAATATTTTAACCATTTGCTAAAATAAAGTCCTCCTTTAAATTGAACAAAACTCAACCTTCAAGACTTTTCGTTGCTCTATTCAATAGCAACATGCACTCATAAATGTAACTTTCCAAAATACAGGTGAAAAGCTATACAAAGAATACAGTGTAACTCTCATCTTGTGATGAAGCCCTGAGCTGTTTCTGTAGCCTCCCACGTTTGAAATCTTCTTAAAGGGCAGAAGAGGGAAACCTTTATCGAGGTGAAGAGTGCATCCGCCCTTATGGAGCCTCATATAGTACTATAATCAGCCACTGCACCAGCGTGATGGTGGGCATAATCCTAAAACAAGATGAGTCCAGTTGAGGTTAATCCGATCAAGTTGGGTCAGACATGAGATGAGATTTCATAAAGGAAATATCAGTACACAGTATGCAACAACCGATCTCGAAAATTGGCAGTAAAATAGGTAAAGACTTATTCACATCCAACACAGTTTTACAGAGTAATGACTCATGGAGGTAGTCTTACCGGTCGGTTATGTTCTTCTTGATGGTGCAGACACATATGTTGAAAAAGAAGACTGTAAAATGTCTCAGGCCATGCCAAACCCAGAACAGCAACTCGGGCACCTGCCTGAACAACAACTCCATTCTGTGGGTGAGAGAGAGAGAGAGAGAGAGAGAGAGAGAGAGAGAGAGGAAAGACTCACTGAAAAGCTGTACATCATGTTTGATTACAAAGTATTTAACATAACCATGAACTGAACAATGCCCATGGCCGCGTTTCCCAGTTAAGACCAATCTTAAGACTTAAAAGCACAGTTAAGAACGTCTTTGGTAAGAAGGGTCACTAAGATATGAGTGTTTCCCAGATGCATTCTTAATGCCCTTCTTAGGGTAGCTCTTAAGATCGCTCTTTAAGAAGCTCTTAACAGGAGGTGGCCACTACCGTGGTGCTGAAACTAAATCAATCAATGTCAGGCAAATCGATCACCCACCACTTAATCAGCGCATAAGTCACACACAGTGCTGCTACCTAATGCACCTATACCTATTTTCATGATGAAAACAAGACTACAACTAACTAAGAAGTAGTCTTGGTAAGAGAATCATGAGGAAATGTATTATATTTAAACAAAAAAACACAGACGCCTTGCTGAGGCCAGTGCCGTCTCTCACCACCTCCAGGAAGCTCCCCACTGCGTAAAAACACAGTGCAGCCAGGCCCTGCACCTCCGGGCTGAGGGGCGAAATTGCACCGGGTTGCCCTCCGGATGTGGAGACACTAGTTGATGAGGCGTTATATCTCAGCATAATATCTCCTTGCTTAGTGTAATATTAATTTGCCTGACACGGCTGGATCTGTGAGCGTTTGGTCGCTAAGTAGACTTCTTAGTGAAAGATCTTCTTAAGCTAAGAGCGATCTGGGAAATGCGTTTTTCTTTCACGGGAGGCTTAAGAGCGTTCTTCAGAAGCTGTTAGCGCTAAGAGCGATCTGGGAAACGCAGCCAATGTGAATATAGATTTGACAGAGTTAAAGAAGTATTTTGTTGCTGGAAGGATGGTCTTTTCATAAAAGGTGCTGTCAATGCAGAAAGATGCAAATACTTTAAAAAGTGGTGCTACATGACCAGGGAAAACAAAGAAAAAAGGGCTGTGGCATTTGCTGTTGCTCAAGACGTAGAAAACCTACAACTTCCAGAATGCCCTGCATCACACCGGGCCAATAAATGCTCCCGCTGGTGGGTGACGTAATGTAGGCTTGGCCATTTTGACACAGGAAACAATATGGTGGCCATCTGGTAACACACGATCTTGAATTGCAGTTAAACAGTAAGCCAAAATATGTCCCTGTAAACATTTGAGGCAATACAAGTAGGCAAGAAATCGGCAAGGCCCGTTTCCACCGCAGGAACTTCGGGGTAATTTTACGGGGCCGGGGCTGTTGGTGCTTGTCTCCACTGCAGGAACCACCCCCGAAGGACAGAGTTCCGGAACTTTTACAGGGGCTAAACAAGTCCCTGCTTTGGAGTAGGTACTCAGAACAGCCCCAAGAAACTCCTGGCTGGGGCTTGGGGATTATTTGGCGCTGACTGGATATACTCTAGGCGGGATGTGACGTTTTGTAAATAACAACATGGTTATCGTAGTTTAGCTAGGCTAACCGTTAGCTGTTAGCGGTGTCTGTAATAACTCAATAAACGGTCCGTGAAAAAAATATTTTTTCCAGCGGATATCTTAGTTACAACATGATTGAGCTAGCAAAGCAGTTTTGTGTTGCTATGTGTGGTATTTATTCAGTTTTGGGAAATCACGATGTCTAGAAAGCATCAGCTGACAGGGACAGCTAACAGCAGCAGCAAAGCTAACATCAGGACGTCATCTATTAAAAGCCTCCCGTTGTCGGATACAACATGAAACTACTCCAGTTAGCTCAATCATGTTGTAACTAAGACATCCGCTGGAAAAAATATTTTTTTCACAGACCGTGACCGAAGTTATTACAGACAATGCTAACGGCGTCTCTACGCCCCTATGTCACCCTGGTCAAAATGGTCGCACAACGATTACGTCACATACAGAGTCCGGTAACTTTACAGGAACCTTCCTCCTACTCCGCTCTCTCAGTGGAGACACGGCGGTTGAGAGAGCCTAGCGAGAGGACGTTCCTGTAGTAGTTCCTGCCCCCCAAATAGTACCAGGAACTTCTTCAGTGGAAACGGGCCTAATCTTGAATTACAGTTAAACAGTAAGCCAAAATATGTCCCTGTAAACATTTGAGGCAATACAAGTAGGCAAGAAATCGGCAACACGCTAACAGAATCTTGGTTCAGGTTCTTTTTAATAATCGTTTATTTAGCACAAGTTCTCATACTACAGCCAAACAGTGCACTAAAATATGTTTCTGACATTTTAGGTGAGAAGTAGGCCAAACAGTATCAGAATCTTGGTTTATAGTTAATCAGCACTGCCTAGTTTGTCAGTTTAATTGGAGTTTGGTCTGCATTAGATAAAAAGATGGGTTTTTGGGTGTGTTTATAAATCCAGTCTGACACTCTACACTAAAATGAGGCCACTGTTTTTCCAAGAAACAAAGCGTTCTATTTCTACAACCATACATTCACTCTGTTCAGCACTTCGCTGAAACGTGTCCGCAGACAGATTATCTCTGGCACATGGAGGGAGTATTTTTGAATGTACCCTTTGTGTCTGTGGTGGCAGGGCATAGAAAAAAATGTGAAATTACAATCTGTAGTTTGAGGAATAGCCCTTGAGCAAAGGAAAATCCACTGGATGACTCAAACCATCTAGCAAATTTGAGCTGAGATGTGAGCAGGGAGATCTGGGCAGTGGTAAAATGGGGGGAAGTTTACCACAGTTCACTTGCACACACTACCCACATTGTTATGATACAAAGCTGGTATCCCTTTGAGTAAGATGTGGGTGGAATTGGTCTGATACGTCCGTGTAAAGCATGGATTCCTCTAGATCTGTCTTAGACCAGTAGTTCAGCACAGTGGGAAATGTGCTTATTTGCATGCTTTTTGAGAGATAGATGGGAAGATTGATACCACTGTCATATCTTTACACTAGATACAGAGCCACAGCCAGTAGTTGGTTAGCTTAGCTTAGCATAAAGACTAGAGATGGGAGAAAACAGCTAACCTGTCCGTCTGAAGGTGACAAAATCAACCTTCCAGCACCTCTAAACCTCACCAATTGATACCTTAAATGTTTATATGTTCAGCTAATTGGTCCTATTTTTACCATATAAACATGGGAGTGGTGTCAATCTTCTAACTCTTGCAGAAAAAGGCCAGTAAGTATGTTTCCCAAAATGTCAAACTGTTCTTCTAAATCTGAGAAAACATAAAGATTGTTCCTTCCTGTTGCATTTTTGTGTTACAGACAGAAGTAAATGCAAGTGCCTGAGAACACAACCTCTGTGTCCTCAGTGGTTGTTGCATTTATGTCTATGTCATGTACCGTGTGTTCACTGAATTTATTACCTGTGCCTACTCTGGTGTACAACGTAAAACAACAGCATGAGAGGTAGGAGCAGGTTGGATAAGAGTCTTGCAGGGAGTCCAAACATGTTCAGATAGGTCACCATGTTTCCAAGCATGACTGAAAGACAAATGTTAACAAAAGCAAATCAGAACAGGCTGTAAAATGCTGACTGTTTAATGTGTGTGTGTCGGTGTGTGCACGCATGGCAGCCATACCATTCTTAACCACATCAAAATGGAGAGGAGGATCTTTAACCGGTCGATTTCCAGTCGATTCGTACTCAATAGAGCTTCTCGTCTGCATGCGTCTGTCGGTTCTAAAAGTCGTCAGTGCGGTTTTCTCTTCCACCTTCATCTCCTTCTCTTCATCTGTGGTGGTCGTCAGATTCATCAACGATTTAGTTTGGTGACAGTTAACTGGCCCTTGGGATATTCTGTGTATCATCAAATATGGGACAAGATCTGCAAATGAGGAAAACGTGTGAAAGAGAAGTTAAGAAAGTAGGTCAGACCGAGTCTGTACATAACAAGAATGTACAGTTTTTTAATGCCGCAAGCTTTTTTCCTCGAGGACACAGCTGACTCACCATTGCTCTGGAGGAAGTGAATAGCATCTTTGTAGCCGCTGTGGTAGGCTTGTTCCAGTATCTAGGAAGAAAGCAAACAAAAAGAATACAACCTTTAGAAAGTCTTTTTTTACAGTTTAATTGCAGGATGTGCAACGTGTGTGGTAAAGGGTCGTCCCATCTATAGTTTCAACTCATCTCGACTCTTGCATGCAGAAGAATTCACTTAAATATTTATTGCTGTGTCTCAAATCATGTACTTTGGTACTTACACTTAATATTTTGAGTGCATAAGTGCATTCACACTGAGAGTATGGAACAATCCAGTGCACTATGAGTACCTGGATGGTGCACTCAAAACGGTCAAGAAGTTGAGTGTAGAACTATGGACACTTCTCGCCCTCAATGGTCGCCATCTTGGCTACGTAGCAGAAGGGGAGGGACTGCTTTTCAAACTGGAAATGTGAACGTTGCTGCATTATACAAATATACATGTGTTTTTTTGCACTAAGCACCACTACATTGTTGTCGGGTATAAGCCAGCAGCATGTTTATTGGGTTAATTTAGCAGTCCGATTTGGTACCGCGAACAATAACGCGAATGCTAATGCTAGTTTGCTAGGTCAAAATTTGCGGTTGTCATTTCCGCTAAGTGCACAACGGCTGTGTTTGGTTTGAGACAACACTACCCTGTCGAAATTCACGTACTACGCCAATAAGTACATAGTGCACATAGTATACTACATGGAAGTGCACTAAGGGAAGTATGTGATTTGAGACATAACATCTGTGTTTATGCGGTATTGAGATCATCCTCAAAAGAGTCCAAATTGTTAAAAGTAAAACACAAGTTTATTTCCTTTTTCCACGTTTGCAAATATGTAAGGGGTCTTACCTTTAAATCCATGGGGTAGAGAGCATTAATGATCCTGAAGCTGTTCGCCATATTCCCCTTCAAGGTGCTGCCACTCACCACCATGTCCCACATGCAAGGTGTGTCGGCGGGACAGATGTCTGTCTCTCCAGAGAATGGAGACACCGTCAAGGTTTGACTGTAGGGTACGGACAGCACTGGCTGCATGCTGCTGAAACCCCCGTCCAGGTAGTACTGCGTGACAAGAAAACATATGTTACGATACAGACCAAAACAATGTGCTTGAACAGAGTTCGTGAAAAAGCCATCAAATACTCACCACTCCTCTGAAGGATGGAGGCAGCACTCCACAGTACATAGGCACAAAGCAGCTGCATAGCAAAGCCTGAGAACAACATGGGCATAGACATGTTAATGGTTACAAGTGTGCTTAAAGGTTTAACGTTTTTATTTTTGGCTTCTAACCTGCTCAGAGGCCTGCCTTGACTTGACTTTCAAATGAGTCAGGGCTAAAGTTAATCCATGTTTTAAACTGTTTTAAATGTCCTTTTATATTGAATTGCCTTCTCTGTTTTATGTCCATAATGTCTATTTTCATGTGAAGCACTCAGTGCTTATAATGCCTTCATTGTAAAGCACTTTATGCTGCATTTCTTGCTATATAAATAATAATAATAATAATAATAATAATAATAATAATAATAATAATAATAATAATAATTATTATTATTATTATTATTATTATTATCATTATTATTATTATTAGATACTGAGTTTCTGGTCAAAATAACTTTTTGCCATTGTGCTGTTAACTATTTATGTAACTACAATAATTTTATTGGGGTCATTTAGATTGAAACTTATTTTTATTTTTTATTTACAACATAGGCCTAAGCATTTGATATCACATACCATATCATTAAACACATATGTAGGTTATTATCTTATCTGTTATCTTATTTATTGTTGTATAATGTATTTAATTCATTATTTATTTAAGTTGATATTATATGAACTTGAAATATTTTGACTGAAATTGGTTAATAAAGTAAAATAATGTGGCACCACACCAGTAAGCAGTGGTAAAACTATAGCTTTCGCTTGATTGCTTGAACTCTGGTTCAGCAACAGCTCAGGTTTAGCCTGACTGGGACCAGGTTATGCAGGTGTTGTGTCGAAGACTGTTTCCCTGTCAATATGAGTTTCCCCCAACCTAAACCTGAACCAAACCCTTAGCCCTAACTCTAACCAGCAAGGGGGAAAAACTATTTGACTGGGGAACACATTACAGTACAATACCAGCCTCACACCAAACAACTTCTCAAGCAATTTCACTGTTGAGGACAAATTTCTAAAATCAGAATAAAACCATGAGAGTTTAACCCCAGTTTGTGCGCTCACCCATGATCTAAATCTTTTTGCGTAAGGAGGTCACAAAACTCAGTTCGAGCTGTCTTAAGTCAGTTTGTTTCAGGTCTTGCCATTCTGACAAAATCAAATGTTTAATATTATCATAATTTGTTAGTCTTGGCTCATGTGAATAGTCAAGAATAGCTGTGCTCTCTCCAGCATCAAACAAGTAGCAGCAAAGCGGGTAGACAGTAAACATGGAAGGGACTCCGGGAAGACGTAAGAATGTGAACAGGTCTCATTTCACTTGTGGGAAAGAAGGAGAAACTGCATTGTTGAGTGAAATGGCTTGTCTCACACTCCCAGGGTCTCCTCCCACTAAAATAGCTAATCCCTTGGGGCTAACCAACAACGGCTGGTAGTGAGCTGAAGGGTCAAAATCCAAAATGCAAAGTTTTTATGCACATGCAGTTTATCTTATGGATTTTAGTGATACTAAATTGACAATAATACTGTCAACATATGATGCCTTTTATCTTGTGTTCCTAGATTCACGTGTTCTTGGAATTGTTACTATGTCATGTTTCTCATAAAGAGTTTAGTGTAATATTTTTCATGGGAGAAGGATGGTAAGTGATCTCAAAAGGAATCTAGCTGTAGTCTTGCAAATAGTGACCCAGTCTTTGCAAAGTCAGATAGTGTGTGACTAAAAACTCATAGTCTTCAGATGTAAGAGGGTGTCAGCAGTGGTTGAACTGAGGGGGGATGAGGGGGGGTGCCATCCCCTTTATTAGAAAATTAACCAAAAACCATCCCCCTTGTTAATCTAGAATCTGTGTGTGCAGGTGGAGCTGTGCTGCTAGCTAAATCCCGCAACTCAGTTTATTTTATTACACTCAAAGACGTGTATACCTAGTAGAGAGTTGAAACCGTTTGCGCTTGGTGGAACCAAAATACACATGAGCACGAGACGGAAGCATGTTATAGCTGCGCGCACACTCACTCACGCAATCAGTCGATGCATTCATTGGCAGCATGGCCAAACAAAAATAAAGTTTGACCTTCGTGATTATTTTAAAAAGAAAAGAACAGGTGAGAAGCTTGGATTTGACTCGTGCCCAGACAATTTAAGTGACGTGATTTCTCAAACAAAACTTGAATGTTGCAGTGGCTACTTCCACAGAAATGCCTTGTTTAGCTATGCTACTGTTAGCCTAGGCTATTTTGTGATAGAGTAAGAGTTCAGCTAGCCAAAGTGAAGTGAAATTGACCAGCTAGGCAGCTAGCAAACTGCAAACTTTACCTGTTTTTCTATGCATGCCTTGGTGACATCTGGTTATGTAGTAGGGCATAATTTGCTTGATATTTGGAGTAGAAAAATAATATTGGTATCATTTGTTGTTTGATTATAGTTATGGTTAATGAATCTGCAGTGCCAACTCACCTGCACTACGTCCTCCTTGGACTGGAACTCAGACATGAAAATGTGCTTGCCATCACTCATGCGCGTCATAGACACAGAAAGACGCCCGTTTGCCAGCTGGTGTGCATTGGAAGGAAGATGTTTGTGTAGAAGACACTCTAACCAGTGGAAAACGTTGATCGAGGGGTTAAATGGTCCAAGTGTGAAAGCCTTCAGCTGTTTGGCAAAATGCAGTATCTCATCCCGAATAGTAACTGTAAAATAGAAGACTTTGAGTCAGAAACAGTGGTTATGTGCAACAAAAGCACATTTAGGAGAAAAAATAAATAAAGTCACTTACTCATGCTCATCTCACAGACCACAGCAGCTGCCACCAGAGACCCAGCAGATGCACCCAGGACACAAGGTGCTGTGCTCAGGATCCAAGGTGCATATTGTAGGAAGCACTGGGCAACCCCTAACTGGTAGGTGGACATGAATCCAGATCCAGAGAAGGAGATGGAAGGAGGAACATCCCGATAATGACAACTGGACACCCCTGGAGCCATTTTCTAAGAGCTTTGAATTACAAGTTTAAGTTCTTCAAATCGCAGCTGGTGAAAAGCATCAGCGCTGAGGCAAAAACTCCTTTCCGTCTTTTAGAAGTAGACCAAATGAAGGCAGGCAGGGACGAGTTATCCAGTGGAAAGTGGCTGGCGGTATCACAATCAGAGTTTTTAAACCATTCCCAATTAGACATACCATATTGGTCATGCCCATGTGATATAACATACAACACTCTCAATGACTTTTTGTCTGTTCCAAGTCCCAAAAGCGGACACGATTTTAATTTGATTAAGACTGGTTACCATGTGATGCTAATACATACAAACTTTTAGCAGTGCTGAATAAATGGAAAAAAAAAACAAGTCCCTAAATCCACAAAGACAGGCTTTAAACAAGCCCTTTCTTTTCGTATTTTCAGCACGGACGAGAAAACATTTTTCAGGATTTCACAGTGATGGTTTTAAAAGGTACAACTAATTGTGAGACATTTAGTTCATTATCACAGTAGTTACATTCAAAGTATGAGAATGTGGCAAATGAATCTTTCCCATCTTATCAGCTTTATGTCACACAGAAATCCTCGACTGTATGTTTTGTACCTTTTAATACCACAGCACCCCCTGCAGGTACAGACGCCAGCTTTGACAAGAGGCTTTGCCAAGAAGGAGTACTGTGCACAATGTTGCCTATATTAGCTTGCTAATGCTGTGAGTGATACATTTAGCCAGACACACAGGTTGCATGTTAGTAAGGGTACCACACTTCTTACCTGTATGTGTTTGTTTGGTTTTTATTTGAATTAAGCTTGAGCTGAACTGTAGCCTTGTTTCTTCAACCAAAACAAGCACTGGAAACACTGACTCAGGAGGTTTATATGGCCTTAGGAGGGTAACATGGCACAGCTTTGTGAAATTTTCTACGGCCAGGAGTTTCAGTCAAGCAATTTAGATCAGAGTTGATTTACCTGCAGAGAAGGGGCGTCTACATTTTGCCCAGAAAGGTGAACTGACAAGCAATCTAAGCAAGCAATCTCTAGGTTTTGGTTTGTCAATCCACCTGCCATTCACATGTGGGCGAGTAATGAGACACTGGGCCCCCACAGATATACAAAAGGCCTCACCACCTCTCCTACGTAAGAGCAAGTCACACAGACTTTGTGGTGTTTTTGCCTTTTTTGTTGTTGTTTTGCATCTCTTTGTAGACATTATGCATCATTTGTGGATTTGTGTGGGTCATTTTGTTTCTGCTTGTGGTTGTTGTGTGCCTCCTTGTAGTCGTTATGTGTCTCTCTGTGGTTGTTTTGCCCCTTTTTGTTATTATTTTGTATCTCTTTGTGGTCATTTGAGTCCCTTCCTGATCAGTATGTGTAGATTTGAGTTACATTTTTTGCAGATGAAGGAAGGCCAGAGAAGGGCCCTGACATGTCAAAGAATCATTGTGGTTTTGAGGTGCTTCTCGTGGCAGACACCCCTTTGGCAAAACTGCAAATGGACCTCACACACTATAAGGCCCCGTTTATACGACAACGATTTCAACTGAAAACGGTAAACTTTAGTTGTGTTTTGGCCGATCGTTTACACGACAGCTGCGTTTTGGGCCCCGTTTATACGACAACGATTTCAACTGAAAACGGTAAACTTTAGTTGTGTTTTGGCTGATCGTTTACACGACAGCGGCGTTTTGGGTGCCTGAAAATTCAACGTTTTGAAAACGGGTTCCAGAGTGCTAGTATCTTTATAGGGTTAATTTAGCAGTCTGTACTTATTTGGGACCGCGAACGATAACGCGAATGCTAATGCTAGTTTGCTAACTAGCTAATTTGCGGTCGTCATTTCTGGTAAGTGCACAACGGCCGTGTTTGGTTTGAGACAACACTACCCTGTCGAAATTTGCGCACTACGCCAATAAGTACATAGTGCACATACAATAGTATACTACATGTAAGTGTACTGACTGAAATATGTGATTTGAGACACAGCACTAAATTTTTGAATGCTCTGCCTGCTCCCTTATGGTCTGCTGTTTCTGTGGTTTCTTTTAAAAGCCAGCTAAAGACACACCTCTTTAGACAGGCGTTTGGGTGGCTTGTATGTACCAGATATGTGTTTCATTCATATTTTGTGTATTGTGAATTATTTTTTTGTGTGTAATAGTTTTGCTACTTGTGTACTTTTAATTACCTGGTTCATGTAGTCACGTTGTTTTTATGTCTTCTTTCTTGTTGTATATTGCCCTTGTGAAGCACTTTGTGACCTCTGTCTGCAAAAAGCGCTATATATTTACATTTTACAACTTTAAGAGCAGCTAAAAGTAACCAGGACGTACAAAATCTGTGAAACAAAATATTTATTTTACAAAGCAGGAAAAACAATGGCGATTATAGGGTGTACCAAATTTTCCACTTAATACCTTCCCTTGAGGTTAATAAAGAAAACTATCTGAAAAATAAACTGTACAAAGTGGCATTTAACCTGCAACACAATATGTTTTTGCATGAACACAAAAAAAATTACTTCACCCTGCCTCCTTCTATTTAACAATATACAACAAATTAGAACAATAATTTCACAGTCATTTCCATCACTGACCTACAAGTCCTCTATAGTATATGAAAATTAAGTGCAACTTTTGTATTGACATTATGTTGAGCAAGCCTGAGAATCTAAGTCATGATGAGCATTTGGCTGTTTGAATATTGACTTGATTTCTTTTAGTTTCCCTCGTTCCTTATTGTTAGTGTTTGTTCTGATCACAGTGATACAAACATTGACTAACAGCAAAATAAAAAGCAATATCATTGTGCAAAAACTCCCTAAAATACACCTTACAGTGCATTTTGTCATACCTGTACATGCATGTATTATTTTCTAAACACACATCACCATTCTGTAATCATTTGTCATGTATTGTGTTTAGGATGTTTAATACATGTATTTGTTTTCTATGGCGGATGCTGTGGAGAAGCACGATCAGGGGAAACCTCAAAATGATCCTCACTGAACTCGTGTGTCGGAGCACCATCCGGAAAGTCCCCATCCTGAGGTGGAGTGTGTCCCGGGGACTCGGCAGGATCAGCCTGTGGTTTTTTGACGTCTTGTGGGAGTTTGAGAAACCTGAGGGGAGGCAGAGAAGAAGTTATAACAATGTGTCATGAAAATAGACAGGAGGAGAATGAGGCAAAGAGAAGTGGACGGAAACCTGAAAAGAAGTTTTTGTCCTCGCTCCTTTTTGATGATGTTGAGCTTGTAGTAGTGTCGCAAAGCCCGGGACATCTTCTCGTAGGTCATGTTATCTCGGTTCTGCAAAAAGAGATCCCACATCATGGATCAATAATTGCTCTACTCCCATGTCGCCTGTTTGTGCTGTCTCGTGGCTCTGTCTGTGTGTTCTTTCTCCCTGTAAGATGAACCACACAGACGTGGGTGCTCACCTTGTGGTTTCCCCAGAGACGTGCCAGTCCGTTAGGGTCGACCACCCTGAACACCAGGTTGTCCTTGTCCTCCCATCGGATGTATTCTTGATAGCGGTCATCACACAGCAGCTGATACACATAGTCCCACAGAAGTCTGCACTCTGGCCATGATTGAAACAGCAAAAAGCCACATTTTGAAAAACTATAATTTATTATCTTACTATATAATGACGAAAACTCTGTCTGTGGGTGTGTCTGTGTGTCTGTTCAATGTTTTTCTCCTCACTGACTTGGTCAATCCATGTGAAATTTGGCACAGTGGTAGAGGGTCATGGGAGGATGTGAATGAAGCAATATTACATCAACTGGCCAAAGGGGGGCGCTATAGCAACCAAATGAAATTGCAAACTTTGAATGGGCACATCTCATGCCCCGTATGTCATAGAGACATGAAACTTTGCACAGAGATGCCTCTCCTCATGAGGAACAAATTTGCCTCAAGAACCCATAACTTCCGGTTATACAGATTTTCTGCCATTTTGAATTTTTTGAAAAACACTTAAAATCGATATCTTCCTAGGAAGTTTGACCGATCTGCATGAAACTCGGTGAACATAATCTAGGGACCAATAGCTAAAGTTCCCTCTTGGCAAAAGTTGGAAAACTTACTAAAACTGAGCTTCTATAAGGCAATGAATATTGTGGAGGGCGTGGCTCATCACATAAAGGTGTATAACATCTCAAGGGTTTCACCGATCACCACACATAATCTGAGGGGACCCCTCCATTATTGACCCCATCAAACAAAATGGGGGCACTAGAGAGCTAATTTCTTATCTAGGCCTAACCGCCATATTGATTTTTACTAAACTTGGTAGATAGGTAGAACAGGACGCCTCAAGGTGACTGGAGAAATGTAACTCTAATTGGCAACTGGGTGGCGCTATAACAACAGAAAAATGCTTAAAATGGCTAAAATGCGACCGATCGCTGTGGCTCCCCCTGTGGCCGAATGTTTGTTTTTTTTTCTAATTTTTGGTATGACTAAGTCATGGTATGGTATGCTGTACATAATCACAGAAACTGTCAGTGTGTCATTCTGTCAGTCAGTCATTCTGTCTGTCCCACGTTTTTCTACTCACTGACATGGTCAATCTATGTGAAACTGCACATAGGCATTGAGGATTGGCATAGGTAGAAGGTGACAAAGCTACCAATGGGTATGGACTAGTTGGTATTATTGGTGTTTAACGCTCTGTTTATACCTTAGCATGCATGCATCTGTAAGGTTGTCACTCCTAAAACTGATTTTAAGGGGTTATACTAAAGTCAGACCATATGAGCTGTCTGGACATGTTTTTCAACATGAAGGTGGCTGAGACTGCAGCTAGCAGCTAACAGCGCAACAATGGCAACAGTGTTGACAGAGTTGACACTATCAACCTGTGGGGAACCAAAGACTGAATGCTACGCTTATGCAATTATGCTGTCCCAATATCAGTTCCATGAAAAGTGGCGCCAATGAGCTGGCCAGCAGGATACAAACATGCATTCAAGGCTGGATTACTTACCACAACAAACCACAGAGAAGCTAAGATAACAGCACACACACAGACTTAATTCTCTGCTCAGGAAGCCTTTGCCCACTATATCTTTATATAACAAATATTGGTTTGCTGCCTAATTAATGCTCTGAATGT